CCTTGCACGTTCCTGGCTCGCTTGCATTCACACGTTCAAAACAGCGTAGGACTGTTAGTTCGTACGCTTTGGGCTGTCATCGATTGCTGAGGGGAGATCGAACCTTCGATCCATATCTTTTTCACAAAAAAAGTGGAGGCAGATCCATTGAATCACAGCCATTAAACGCTGAGATATCTTTTGAATTTAGATTTGTAGCGGGTTCTTCATTTACCGGAACCCCAAGTCCATAGACTTTGCCATTGGCTGACCCAGCTGAGCAATTCAACGAACCATTCAAATTGCAATCGAAAGACTCAAAACGAAGTAATTGTACTGCATGGCTACACAATTAGGATCATGTCACCAAACCCACTGGACCCTTCAGCTTTGCGGGTTGTAAAGCCCATGGCTAGAGGCTTCAAGCAGCTTTGCAAGAAGCTTTGCACATCAAAGTACTCAGCGTAATAAAGGACTTAGTCGAAACTGAAGATAATTTGACAAAAAATGACAGTAGTTTAGGGGTACGCAAACACTTTTCCGGCAGATCACAGCAGAAGAGTTGAAAGCCACTTCAGAGCAGTGCAGCAAGACCATTCAGCAGCTTCGCAGCTTCCTGAAGATTGGTTTCACAATATTATTTTCAATTCGGGACTGTTTGCAGCTCTTGCATCCCACCAAACAAGGAAATGCACTTTGCGAGGGAAGCTGAAGACTTGTCCTTGCCTTCTTGGGCCGCCTCAACACTTAGGGAATAGTCCGAAGGGGATGTTGAGGACTCAGGCAAAGAAAAGTCTAGTTTTAAATGGAAAGACACGAAAAAGACTCTTCCCACGGGAACCCGAAGAAAACCCGAGGGTGGCGATACACAGAAACGCCAGAAAATTGGGCTTTTTGCACCATTAATATACTTATTGAACAGCTTTTTACTTAGGCAGTTGACTCCCCTCTGCAGCACTTTTTGAATTTCGCTGCTGCAGCAGCTCTAGCGCCACTCGCCAGAACCCCATGAAGAGTTCTTCAGCGATTAATGGGTTTTGTCTTTGATAATTGCAGAGCAGGAGCCCCCATAGACATAAATGCCAATTCAAGTTTCCTCTTGAGCAGCAACTGTGTACTGTGGATGGGCTCAAGAAAACTGCAAGGGTTTCAGCTGCCAGATCGACCGATCTCAGCCATCAAAACAGACTCCCAAGCCTCTCGCGTCATGGGAATTGCAAATAAAAAGCCAGAAAGGTATTATGTGGCTTAAGGAGGCCGGATCGCTGCATCCCGAGCAGCAGCAAAACAAAGACCAAACTGCTGCTGCACAGCACACTTTCGCGGTGAGCAGCAGCGGTTGTCAAGGCGCTGCGGGACTCATCAGGCATTAAATCCAACTCTGGTATTTTTTAACAGTCAACACCAAAGAAGCTGATGCGAATTCAGTGCAGAAATGCCTCTTGAGAGACCCCAGAGCCCGTGAGGAGGGGTGGGGCCCCCGGGGGGCCCCGCAGCTGAACGAGGGAAGAACGGCGCGGATCTCTGCAGACTTGCAGTTTTGTTTTCTCGCGAATCGATAAGCAAATTACAAATGGAATTAAAAAGAAACTTTAATGAAGAAAACTGGAGAAGACATGAGCATGCCGTGCTCGTGAGGCACACCAGCAGCATCGACAGTCACACGGCGATGGATAGCTGCTGCGAAGGAGCAGAAGACGCCATGGACAAATGCAGCAAAAGCGACAGCAGCGTTTGCTGCTGCTGCTGCTGCTGGGGCTGCTTGCCCTGGATATTCCTTCCTCCCATTGTGTGGTGGAAGCAGCCGCAAGACAGGCCTCCCCTGGCTATACAAGCCAGTGCTGCAGCAGCGCCAGCAGCAGCAAAAGCAGCAGCAGCAGAGTCAGAGAAGCCGCGCGGCCACGAATTGGTGCTGCTGCCCAGACGGGGAGCTTCCCGCTAGCCTTTGTGCCCAGCGGAATCCACACAGGCACCTCCTCAACGCAAGCTGCGCTGTGCAGCAGCAGCAGCAGCAGCAGCAGCAGCAGCAGCAGCAGCAGCAGCGGCGGCAGCGGGTGTGCGGGGTCCGCCTCGCGGACGGCAGGGAAGTCCGAGCTGCTGCTGTTGTGCTTGCTGCTGGCACTTTTCTAGATGCTGCTGTTGCTGTCGGCAGCAGCAAAGTTGCGGGGGGGCGCATGCACTCTGCAGCAGAGGCAGCAGCAGCAGCAGACGCGCGCCACCCGCTGCGCCTCCAGCAGCAGCAGCAGCAGCGGCAGCAGCAGCAGCAGCAGCAGCAGCTGCCTCCAGCCATCTGCAACGTCGAACCAGCAGCAAAAGGACTCGCGAAGGCGCTGCACCGCCTGGGCCTACAAACTACCTACTTTAAGACAGGTCGCTCGCTGCTGCTGCTGCTGCTGCTGTTGCTGCTGCTGCTGCTGCTGCTGCTGCTGCTGCGGTCGGGCCAGATTAGCTTCCAAGCGCGCCGCGAGCCCCGAAGCTCGCTGCGGCGCTGCTTCGCCTCTGCTGCTGCTGCTGCTGCTGCTGGGTGTGGGGCGGCGGTGCTTGCTGCTTCTGCTGCTGCTGCCTCTGCGCGGTGCTGCTGCCAACACCGCTGCTGCTGCTGCTGCTGCTGCTGCTGCTGCAGGAACCCCCGCTCGGCTGCTGGGGTCTTCCGTGGACTTCTCGAAGCTGGAGCGGCAGCCGTCGGACCCGACGCCGCGTCCGTTTTCAGGTGTACATACACCTGAGCAGCTGCGGAGGCGCAGCAAACTCTGGGTGGACTGTTTTGTTGGCCACACAAATAAAAAAACTTCGGAAATTGTGAAACTCCATTTGCAGAGTCTTCCGCAGCACAGGGGCGACCAGGGCCGCGGAGTGGGGCCCAGGTACTGCCCCTCCATCGCCAACAAGGTCCCAAACCCTAAACCCTAAACCCTAAACCCTAAACCCTAAACCCTAGGCCCCGCCAGCGCGAAACCCTGCAAGCCGACTCAAACCCTAGACCCTCGACCCCCGCCGGGGCGAACCCGACACTCCTACTCAAACCTTAAACCCTCGACCCAACACAGAGTCTAAACCCTACACACCAACTCAAACCCTAAACCCTAAACCCCCACCAAGGCTAAACCCTAGACGCCAAGTCAAACCCTAGACACTCAACTCCTATGCAAACCCTAAATCTCAACCCCAACACAAACCCTAAACCCTAAAGCTCAACGCAAACCCTAAACTCCAACACAAACCCTAGGCCCTCAGCCCCGAACACGAAGCGAAGACCTGGGGGCTTTTCGACAAACCCTAAACCCTAAACCCTTTTCGGCAGACCCGAAACCCTAAGGCTCAAACCCTTAACCCCAGACGGCCGCGTTACACCAGCTTCCGCTGACTGCAGCCTGAGAACTGGGCACTAAAGGGTTTAGGGTTTAGGGTTCGGGGTTTAGGGTTTAGGGTTTAGGGTTTAGGGTTTAGAAACGTCACGCAAGCGGCGTACTCTCCCCGAGCTCCAGCCACAGATACTCGAGCTAGACTTTTGACATGAGGGCGGAGGCTCCAGGATTTAGGGTTTAGGGTTTAGGGTTTAGGGTTTAGGGTTTAGGGTTTGGGGCTGTGGCTGCAGATTCGTCAGTTTCCACACAACCCCTCCCACGTGGTTTGGCTGGAGCCCGAAGACCCCTCGATGTCAGTGATATACCCCGGGGGTTTGTCGGGAGCCTTTCCTGCTGCAGTGCAGCAGCAGCTGCTGCAGTCCGTGCCGGGGCTGGAAGCAGCAGTGCTGCTGCGGCTGGCCTACGATGTGGAGTACTTGGTAGTTAAGGGCAGCGAGGTGCAGCAGACGCTGCAGGCCAAGAATGTCGAGGGCCTCTTTGTTGCAGGACAAGTCCTGGGGACCACAGGTGCTGCTGCTGCTGCTGCTGCTGCTGCTGCTGCTGCTGCTGGTTTGGCTGCGGCTGGGGGCTGGCTAGTGATGCTGCACAGTCGTCGCAGCAGCTGCTGCTGCTGCTCTTGCTGCTGCCAGCTGGCGGCCAGCTTCGCTGCCGTTGCAGCTGCTGGTCTTGTAGATGGGGTCGCAGTTTCTGCTGCTAGGCTTTTGCTGCAGCAGCTGCTGCGGCCGCTGCTGCAGCCGCCGCTGCAGCAGCAGCAGCAACTGCTGCTGCTCTACGCTAATCAAAGCGCATATCTCTGCGCTGAGACCCTTACGGCCCTTTGCATGCGTTCGCATTGCTAGGCATGAATTGATTTAATTTAATTTAATTTAATTTAATTAACTTAATTGACTTTAGTTGCTTCATCGAACAAAAGATGGATGAATGCATTTTGCATGCACCTGTGGGCGTGCCCATGTGCAGTGTACGTACACCCGAGCGCAGCAGCGCAGCAGCGCAGCAGCAAAGCTTTTGCTGCGCTTGTGTCTGTCTTTGCGCAGCAGCAGCAGCAGAAGCTGCGGGAACTTTGAGCGGAATTAATATTTCTTTGCTTCTGTTTGCTGCAGGATATGAAGAAGCAGCAGCACTGGGCCTCCTCGCGGGCTGGAACGCGGCGCTGTTTGCCCTTGCGCAGAAGGCTGGAAGCAGGAGAACTGCAGCAGCAGCAGCACGAGCAGCAGGAGCTGCGGCAGCAGCAGCTCAAGCGTCAGAAGCCGCAGCAGCAGCAGCAGCGGCGGCGGCGGATCCCGCTGCTGCTGCTGCTGGCGAGCCGTCCGGAGCAGCAGCAGCAGCTTCGGAGTCTTTGCAAGCAGCTCCCGCTTCTCCTCCCGCAGGCAGCAGCAGCAGCAGCGGCGACAGCAGCAGCAGCGGCGGCGGCGGGAGCCAGCAGCCGGCAGCAGCAGCAGCAGCAGCAGCTGCTGCTGCTGCACTGCCCCCCTTCGTGGTGCTGGACCCCCTGCAGTCCATGACCGGGGCAGTGGTCCAGCAACTGACCAGTGGTCACGCTCAAGAGCCGCTGCGGGCTTTTGCTGCTCGCCTTCGCTCGCGGCTGCGGGTCCGCTGCGACAACGCAGCAGAGCGGCTGCTGCCTGCTGCGCTGCAGGGGGGCCTTTTTGCTGCTGCCCACAAAAGAGTTCGCCGGGAGCAGCAGCGGATTCGCCACGTCAACAGACTCACGCAGCTCGTGGGGTCAGCAGCGCTGCTGCTGCTGCTGCTGCTGCTGCTGCTGCTGCTGCTGCTGCTGCTGCTGTTGCTGCTGCGGCTGGTGGCGCTGACGCGACGTTGACAGTTGCTGCTGGGCCCGCGGCCGGTGCAGCAGCAGCAGCTGCTGCTGCTGCTGTTGCTCATGCTGTTGCGGCTGGTGGCTCTGACGCTACTTTGACAGTTGCTGCTGGGCCCGCGGCTCGCGCTGCTGCTGCTGCTGCTGCTGCTGCTGCTGTAGTTGAGGACTATCTGGCTGGCACTGTGGGGTGCTGGGGCTGTGTGTTGGGCGTGGGGCGGGTGGTGTGTTTAGGTGTCTGTACACCTGAAATGTGCTGCTGCTGCTGCTGCTGCTGCTGCTGCTGCTGTCTTGCAGCCAATTTGAACTGTCAGCTTCGCGGTGGTCTTTTTTGCTTTCGCGAGCAATATCTTGTTTGGAGCAGCTGCAGCAGCACGCCGGCGCTGCTGCTGCAGCCACGCCAGCAGCAGCAGCAGCAGCAGCAGCGACAACAGCAGCAGCAGCCTCAGCAGCAACGCCGGCGGGCTTGGCCGCAGGCTGGTCTGCGGGCGGCGCTGCTGCAGTGCCCTCTGCTGCTGCTGCTGCAGCAAACGGGTTTCCTGCTGCTTACGCGCAGCTAATCCACGCCCCGCTGCAGCTGCTGCTGCTGGGCCTCAAAGCCTGGGCAGCAGCTGTGGGGCCCGGGGCCCGCAGGTGGTCTGGGGCCCAGCTGCTGGCAGCTTTGCCTCCCGTGCTGCTGAAGCTGGAGCAGCAGCAAACCCAAGGGCAGGCTGCTGCAGCAGCAGCAGCTCCCCAGCTGCTGCCAGCTCCCCCGAAGCCCACGCAGAGGCAGCAAGCAGCAGCAGCAGAGCCGCAAGCAGCAGCAGCAGAGCCGCAAGCAGCAGCAAACATGCGGCAAGCAGCAGCAAATGAGCAGCACACAGCAGCAGCCGAGCATGCAGCGGCAGCAGAGCAGCAAACAGCTGCAGCGGAGCAGGACGCAGCAGCAGCAAAGCAGCACGCAGCAGCAGCAAAGCAGCACGCAGCGGCAGCAGAGCAGCACGCAGCGACAGCGGAGCAGCAGACAGCAGCAGCAGAGCAGCACGCGGCAGCAGCAGAGCAGCACGCGGCAGCAGCAGAGAAGCAAACAGCAGCAGCAGACGCAAACGAGCCCCCAGCGAAGTCCCCAGCGGGGGCCCCACAGGGGGCCCCCCCGCAGGGGCCCCCTCGGGGGGGCCTCCAGGGGGCCCCCCGGGGGGGCCCCCCGGGGGCCCCTGAGGAGGCCCTGTGGGGGCCCCCAAAAGGGGCCCCGGAGTCCCCGGGGGCCCCCGCGGGGGCCCCCAGGGGGGCCCCCCCGGCAGCAGCAGACGAGGGGCCCCACTTGAGCAGGGACTGTGTTGCGCTGCAGCTGCTGGTGTCTTTGCTGCTGGACGAAATGGCTGCGCAGCAGCGGGGGCCCCGGGGGCCCCCCGGAGAGGGTACAGAGGGGGGGGCCCCCAGGAAGATGAGGATTTGCTGCTGAAGTGCTTAACTCCCTCTTTTGGAAGTGTTGTTTCTTGGGGGCCCCCAGGAAGATGAGGATTTGCTGCTGAAGTGCTTAACTCCCTCTTTTGGAAGTGTTGTTTCTTGTTCTGTCTTTGCGCAAATTAGATATTCTTTTTATTTCCAAAGAGAACAAAGAGAAGCAGCAGCAGCAGAGTCCAACGAATTGATTCCTGAAGTCATCAACAGGTGCGCTGCTGCGCTGCAGTTCCCTGCATGCGGTGCTTCCGTGGCTTGCTGCTGCTGCTGCTGCTGCTGCTTCTGCTGCTGCTGCTGCTGCTGCTGCTGCTGCTGGGGTTTTTCTCTCGCCGGGTGCGCTGCGGCTGCTGTTCTCTCAAGGGCACAGCTAAGAAAGCTTTTTCCTTTTGATGATTTGTTTCTCTTTTTGAGTTTTATTTCAAAATGTTTTTCGTTTTGATAATTATTTTCTCTTTTTTGAGTTTTATTTCAAAATACTTTTCGTTTTGATGGCTCTTTTCTTTTGGCCCTTTGTGCTCTTCGTGTGCTGCATGCGCGTTGCGGTGTCTGTACAGTGCGTGAGGTGTATAGGCAGCTCCAGAAGTGTTTCTGCTGCTCAGCTGTATAGGGAGTTTTCTCTAAATGCTTGCAGCTGACCAAAAGCGGACTTTTTGCTGCAGTTAATTAATCAAATTTAAACATTTTAAGACACTTTTAACTTTCCAAGAAAACGCAATTTGCCATTTCTGGGGTGTATAGCCAGCTTGAGGTGTATAGGCAGCTTGAGGTGTATAGGCAGCTCGAGGTGTATAGGCAGCTTGAGGTGTATGGGCAGCTTGAGGTGTATAGGCAGCTCGAGGTGTATAGGGAGTCAGGGAGTGGGGCTTTCGTTTGGTTTGCTGCTGCATGCAGCAGCATGATTTGTGTGGTTTGCTGCTGCATGCATGCACTGGATCTGTTGTTTGCTTCCTTTGCTGCTGCAGAGAACTTTATCCTTTTTTGTGTTTGGAAGAAATCGAAAATCTGCAGCGCCAAAAACCCCACACTTTCCGGGAGGCGCATTTGCTGGGCTCTCTGCGGCCCTCTTCTTTGCTGCAGCTCTTCCGGGCGAAGCGTCAGCAGCAGCAGCAGCAGCAGCGGCAGCAGCAGCAGCAGCGGCAGCAGCAGCAGCAACGACAGAGGCAACAGCAACAGCAACAGCAACAGCAACAGCAACGGCAACAGCAACAGCAGCAGCAGCAGCAGCAGCAGCAGCAGCAGCAAGGGAGTGAATAGAGGGCCTCGCGGTGCAGCAAAGGGAGCAGCACATTAGAGAGAGAAGCAGCAGCAGCTGCAGCTGAAGAAAAAAAGATTTCGGAAATAAAAAAAGAAAGAAAGACAAAACAAATAAAATAAGAATGGAAGCAGCAGCAGCTGCAGCTGAAGAAAAAAAGATTTCGGAAATAAAAAAAGAAAGAAAGACAAAACAAATAAAATAAGAATGGAATTGAAATAAATAAACAAAAAGAAAAAATATTAAAAAATAAGGTCATTAAAGAAGTCCAGAAAGATAGAAGCAAAATGAAAAAAGAGGGATTTAATTACAAATGACAAAAATAAAAAAAAAGGAAACTTAATTTTAAATGAAAAAAGACAGAAACAGCAGCAGAAGCCATTTAAGGAGAGGCATTTGCTGCTGCTGCTGCTGCAGCTGCAGCAGCAGCTGCTGCTGCTGCTCCAAAAGGCTGCAAATTATTTCTTTTTTGCTTCCGGAAACCCTTTTTTAAAAACTGCTTTTGTTCAATAAAGACAAATAGCAGCAAAAAGGATAGTTGCAGCAGCAGCAAAAAGCATAACTGCAGCAGCAGCAAAAAGGATAGTTGCAGCAGCAGCAAAAAGGATAGTTGCAGCAGCAGCAAAAAGGATCATTGCAGCAGCAGCAAAAGCCATAACTGCAGCAGCAGCAAAAAGGATAGTTGCAGCAGCAGCAGCAAAAAAGATAAAAGCAGGAGCAGCAAAAAGGATAACTGCAACAGCAGCAAAACAGACAAAACTAGAAGCAGCAGAAAGACAATTGCAACAGCAGCAAAAAGACAATTGCAGCAGCAGCAAAAAGACAATTGCAACAGCAGCAAAAAGGTAAAAGTAGAAGCAGCAAAGGACAATTGCAGCAGCAGCAAAAATTAACTGCAGCAGCAGCAAAAAGGTAAGAGTAAAAGTGACTTTGTTTTTGCTTGAGGCCAAAAGTGTATTTTAAAAAGTGAATTAAAAGCTGCAACTGGAAAATTAGAAATAAAAGAAATTAAAATAAATAAAAAGAAATAAAAATATAAATAAAAAAGAAATAGAAAAGAAATGAAAAGGAAACAGATAAAAAACTAAAAAGGAATTGAAAAGAATTAAATAAAATGAACGAAAAGCAAACAAATAAAAGAAATGAAAAGGAAATAAGTAAAAGAAATAAAAAAGAAAATGAAAAAAAGATATTTGAAAAGAAACAGTTTATTTTATTTCTCCTTTTTTGTCTGCAACTCTTTCAATGTTTTATTTTTTGACTTTTTGATTTTTCTTTTTTTTAATCTTTTTTCTTTTCTACTTTTTTCTTATTTCATGTTTTTCATTTTCTGATTCTTTTAATATATTTCTTTTCCTCCTTTTTTCTTTTCTTTTTTCGTTTTTTTCCTTTTTTCGATTTTTCCCTTTTAATTTCCTCTGCAGTTTTATTATTTATTTATTTATTTTTCATTTTCTTTTATCCCTTTTATTTAGTACTATACGTATTACTTCATTTCTTCAATTTACTTATTTTATTTATTTATTTATTCATTTTTTAATTTATTTTATTTATTTTATTTGTTTTATTCATTTTATTTCTGTTTATTCTTTAATCCTTTTAATCTGCCATCATCTTTTTAATTCCTTTTCATCCCTTTTGTCTTTTCAATTTTTTTTAATACTCTTTACCTCTCTAATTTCTTTTTTCTTTTTATCTTTTTTATTTCTTTTTATTTTTAATTTCTTTTTAATTTCCTTTGAATTTGTTTTAAATTTGTTTTAAATTTACTTTAAATTTATTTTTAATTTCCCTTTAATTTCCTTTTAATTTCTTTTCAGGTTCTTTTCTTTTTAATTTCCTTTTAATTCCTTTTTAATTTCTTTTTCTTTTTTATTCCATTTCGTCCTTTAAATCTCTTCCTCTCTTTTTATTTTATTAAATTTTCTTTTTTATTTTAAATTCTTTTTTATTTTCAATTTCTCTTCGCTCCTTTATTTTATTTTTTCAATTTCTTTTTTTTCGCATTTTGTTTTTTCAATTACTTTTTCTTTTTCCTCTGTTATTTCATTTCATCCTTTTTTCTTTTTTCTCTTTTTGTTCCTCTTTTTCTCTTTTCCTAATTTTGTCTTTTTGTCTCTTTCTGTCTTTTCTTTTTATTTCTCTTTTTGTCTCTTTTCGTCTTTTTATTTTCTTTTTCTCCTTCATTTCTCTTTTCTTTTTTTTTCTTTTTTTTATTTTCTTCCTTTCCTTCCCTTCTCTTTTCCTCTTTTTGTCCTTCTCTCTTTTCGTCCTTCTCTCTTTTTGTCTTTTTGTCTTTAATATCTTTTTCTCTTTTTATCTTTTCCTCTTTTAATTTCTCTCCCGCTTTTTATCTTTTCCTTTTTTAATTTCTTTTTCTCTTTTTGTCTTTTTGTCTTTTTTTGTTTTTTCTCTTTTTGGAATAAGCAGTTTCTTTTTTGCTGCGTCCTTTTGATCGTAGCAGGAGGAGAAAAATATAAATAAATAAAAAAATAAATAAAATCTAACAAACAAATAAATAAATAAGTAAAACTAATAAATAAATAAATATATCTAATAAATAAATAAATAAATAAATAAATAAATAAACTCTGACAAATAAATACATAAGTAAAACTAGTAAATGAATAAATAAATCTAATAAATAAATGAGTAAATAAATAAAACTAAAATAAATAGATAAATAAATAAACAAACCTAATAAATAGATAAACAAATAGGTAAATAAATCCAACAAATAAATCAATAAATAAATTTCATATTAGAGTATACAAATAAACTAAATGAATAAATTATGTAAAACATAAAACACTAAATAATGCCTTTTATTGAAAGTTATTTATTTTAATTACATTTGTACAACTAATTAAATATATCGCAAAATTAATCCTATGAATTAAATATATTAAACTAAAAATAGTTTCAATCTTTTTGTTTGATAAATATTAAACACCATTTATTTAATTTTATATTTTGCACTAATTACGTCTAATGCCCCCAGATACATCTAAATTTAATTTATGTTATTTACTTATCCATTCAATTATTTAATTATTTATTTTTTTATTTATTCATTTACCTATTTATTTATTTATAATTAGTTTATCTGCAGAATTCGGAAAAATATTTCAAAACAAATATCCCGTAGACACATTTATTTAGCTGCGACCCTCGGTCCCTTTTGGGGCCCCCAGGGGCCCCCCAGGGGCCCCCCAGGGGCCCCCCAGGGGCCCCCCAGGGGCCCCCCGGGGGCCCCCTAGGGGCCCCCCGGGGGCCCCCCAGGGGCCCCCCGGGGCCTCCAGGGCTCCCAGGGGGCCCCCTGGGGGCCCCCTGGGAACCATTTGGGGGCCCCCTGGGGGCCCCCAAATGCCCTTGCTGCTGCCCCGGGGGGCCCCCGTTTGGCCAGAGCCTGGGGGCCCCCTTTGGAGGCTGCGACAAAAAGAAAGCAGCAGCAAAAGCTGCTGCAGCAAACAGCCATGGTGGGGCCCTAAAAGCCCTGCGGGGGCCCCTAAAGGGGGCCCCTGAGGACCCTGGGGGCCCCTAGAGGGGCCCCTCGAAAGGCCCCTTGAGGGGCCCCAGGGGGCCCCTTTAGGGGCCCCCCGAGGGGCCCCCAGAGGGGCCCCCAGGGGGCCCCCAGGGGGCCCCCAGAGGGGCCCCCCGAGGGGCCCCTTAGGTATAAATGGGGGCATCTCAAGGGGTGTTGAGGCTTCGGGTCGTTTTGCTGCTGGTGGCCGTCGCGGCTAGGCCGCGCTGCTGCCACCCCCTCCCTGCTGCTGCTGCTGCTGCTGCTGCTGCTGCTGCTGCTGCTGCGGCTGCTGCTGCTGCTGCTGGAGGAAGTCCGAGACGGAAGAGCCGACAACTCTGAGGGCCCTGCCGATGCCCTCGAGGCCCCTGACGAGGCCGCCGGCTTGGGCGTGTTGCTGCTGCTGCTGCTGCTGCTGCTGCGCTGCTGCTGCGCGTCTGCTGCTGCTGCAGCAGCAGCAGCTTTCGTGCAAGTGCATGCAGCAAAGGTAAGAACCATAGGGCTTCCCGTCTATGCAATAAAACTCCGGAAAATATCTTATGCTGCTAAATCCATTTCGGAGATAAAAGGAAAGAGCAGCAGCATTATAGTCCGCCACGTGTAGATACAGCGCAGCAGTTGCTGCTGGGTTGCTGCTGCTCCTGAAAAACCCCACAGCTTGCTGCAGCAGCGCAGCAGCAACTCCCAGCCGCCGCAGCGGAGCAGCAACAGCAAGCGTCAGCACGTACGCCAGGTCGCTGCACTCCCGCTCGCCCTCGCCCCCTGCTGCTGCTGCTGCTGCTGCTGCTGCTGCTGCTGCAGCAGCGCGCTCCCACTCCCACGTGCTGCTGGCGCCCCCCGGCTCCCCTGCTGCTGCTGCTGCTGCTGCTGCAGTGGCGGCGCACTCGGAGGCTTCGCTGGGGCGCCTAGCCTCCGGGGCTGAAGCCTCAGCAGCAGCAGCTGCTGCTGCTGCTGCTGCTGCTGCTGAGTTCTTGCTGCTGCTGCTTTCCTGGCCAAAGGCTGAAAAGAATGAAGGAAAACCCAGCAGCCCCTGCTGCTGCGCAGCCAGCTGCAGGCGGCAGGGCTCTTGCTGCTGCGCTGCAGCGGGGGCCCCCGGGGCCCCCTCCTCCGGTGCTGCAGCGCCTGCTGCAGCAGCAGCAGCAGCAGCAGGGTCAGCACGTACGCCAGGTCGCTGCACTCCCGCTCGCCCTCGCCCCCTGCTGCTGCTGCTGCTGCTGCTGCTGCTGCTGCTGCAGCAGCGCGCTCCCACTCCCACGTGCTGCTGGCGCCCCCCGGCTCCCCTGCTGCTGCTGCTGCTGCTGCTGCAGTGGCGGCGCACTCGGAGGCTTCGCTGGGGCGCCTAGCCTCCGGGGCTGAAGCCTCAGCAGCAGCAGCTGCTGCTGCTGCTGCTGCTGCTGCTCTCTGGGCCCCCCGGGGCGAGGAGGAGCCGGCGCCGCTGACGCAGCAGACTGCTGCTGCGCTGACAGTCTGCTGGGGGGCCCCGCGAGCAGCGCAGCAGCAGCAGCAGCAGGAAACGAAGTCCAAGACAAGAAACAAAGAGGTTTAAGAAAAGCAAAAAGAGTGACAGAAATGACTCATCGGCAGCTGCCGAAGAAAAGTTTAAATGAAGACAGAAAAAGGAATTGCGGCGGCAGATGCGGCGTGACTCTTGAGGTGTACATGCAGCGCATGCTGCGCGCGCAGCCGCCAACTGCCCATTTCTAATTACTTTTTCACTTTTATTTTTTCTTTAATTCTTTTCTTTGTTTGTTTTTCGACAATTCAAAACGAAGATCGCGAAAAACGAGCTCCGGAACGCCCTGTCGGCGGCGCTCGCAGCCGAGTTGCAACGCGCTGCTGCAGCAGCAGCTCACTCATTCGTGTCTTTTTCCTGCACTTCCATTTCGTCTTTTGACATCAAAAGAAATGAAAAATAAAGGAACTAATTCAAGCGAATGCGGGGAACGAGAGAGCTGCAGCAGCAGCAGCAGCAGCAGCAGCAGCAGCAGTTCGTTGCTGAAGCAGCGCTGCGTTTCCAAATGCTGAACTTGCTGCTCTGTAGTGACACTGCAAACTTCAAGCTGCGACGGCCCAGCAACTTTCTAGAAACAGAATTTACTTTTATTCTTTAATCCATTTGCTGCTTGCTGCTGCTTGCTGCTGCTTGCTGCTGCTGCTGCTGCTTGCTGCTGCCTGCTGCTGCTTGCTGCTGCAGCGCTCTGCAGCAGCAGGCAGCTCAAGTCTGTCTTTCTGGCTGTCTCTGCGCTGGCCTTCTCCCAGCAGCACCAGTGGACCACTGCTGCTGCTGCTGCTGCTGTTGCTGCTGCTGCACCTTCTGCTGCTGCGCTGCTGCGGTGGCCTGCGGGGTGTCTGTACACCCCAGCGACTCAAAAGAAACCCCGCAGTTAGCAAATCAATTTGCATGCATTCCATTTTAAATCTTTTAAATGTTTTATTAAATGTTTTATTAAATGTTTTATTAAATGTTTTATTAAATGTCTTACCAAATGATTTATTAAATGTTTTATTTAAAGGCTGCTTCTGGCAGCAAAACGACTTGCTGCAGCGCCAGCAGCAGAATTCAAATTGAGTCAAAGTACAGAAACAAAGAGACACAACAGCAGCAGCAGCAGCAGCTGCTGCTGTTGCTGCTGCTGCTGCTGCTGCTGCTGTTTGGCTCTCAGTTTTGCTGCGCTGTTGCATATTTGCTGCTACGGGGTATTTGCTGCTGATTTGCTGCTTCGATTAATTCTTTAAATTTTCTTTTTATTTAATTAATTATTTAAATTGTCATTTATTTATTTTATTATTTAAATTGTTTTATTTAATTGTTTATTTAAATTGTTTTTATTCATTTTTATTTATTTAATTTTCCTTTTTATTTAATTTGCTTCTCTTTTGGCTGCCTCAACGGGAAGGCCAGCAGCTTTCTCTAAAAAAGAAAATAAAACAAAAAAATAAAAACAAAAAGGAAATAATAAATAAAATAAAAAGAAATAAGAGATATAAATAAAAACAAGAAATAAATAAATGAAAACAAAAAGAAATAAACGAAAGAAAAAGAAATAAAAAAAATGACAAAATAAATAAAAATAAAAAAGCAACCAAATAAAAAGGAAATAAATCAATAAAGAAATAAAAACAAAAATGGATGAAAAGAAGAAATAAATTAAAACGAAAAGGAAATAAATAAAAACAAAAAAGAAATAAATAAATAAACAAATTAATAAATAATAAATAAAAAGAAATAAAAAATAAAAAGAGAAATAAAGAAAATTGCTTGCAAGGACAGAACCAGAAGCAGCGGAACAAAAACCGCGTGGCCGCGAACTTAAGACTACCTCCGCCTGCTGCTGCTGCTGCTGCTGCTGCTGCTGCTGCTGCTGCTGCTGCTGCTGCTGCTGGACAGCTGCTGAAACAGCGCGAAAGGCAGCAGCAGCAGCAGCAGCAGCAGCAGCAGCAGCAGCAGGTAAGGGGAACGCGTTGGGGTGTATGCCCAGCTCTTTCACTTCACTGCCTATTTCTTTCACCTTTATTATTAGTATTATTTATTATTTGTTTTTATTTATTTATTTATTTATTTATTATTATTATTTTATTATTATTTTATTGTTTTGTTATTATTTTTATTTCAAAATGGAGTTCTAATTGGGGAAACAACAAAGTACAAACGTCGGTGCCCACGGCCTGCAGGATCACCGCCGACTGCAGCAGCAGCAGCAGCAGCAGCAGCAGCAGAATTGCAGCAGCAGCAGCAGCAGCGGCTGCTGCTTTGCTGCAGCGTAGCTCGCTCAGTACAACGAGAGGCCGCTGCTTGCTGCCCCTCAAGCTGAGCATCATTTGCTCATTTGTGTTTGTTGCTGTTGCTGCTGCTGCTGCTGCAGCAACCCACTGGGTAGCAGCAGCAGCAGCAGCAGCAGCAGAAGGCGCACGAGCAGCTGAGTGGCAGCTGGCGCATGCAGACAAGAAGCAACTACAGCTCATCATGTGGACTTCTGCCACGGGGCTTAGGCTGCTCCTTATACGGCTGCTGCTGCTGCTGCTGCTGCTGCTGTTGCTGCTGCTGCTGCTGCTGCTGCAGCCGCTCTGCAAGGATATCTCCCAGTGTTGCTTCGAGGTTCCCAGAAGTAAGGGCCTGCTGCCGCAGCAGCATTTGCTGCTGCCCCACGTACAGCATGTGCTGCAGCAGCACGAAGCCAGCAGCAATGAAGAGCAGCAGCACCAAGAACGAGCAGCAGCAGCAGCTGGAGCACCGCAGCAGCTTCCGGGGAGATGTATCGAGGATCTGACGCACAATCAAACACAGCAGCAGCAGCAGCAGCAGCAGCAGCAGCAACAGCAGCTCCTGCAGCAGCAGCAGCAACAGCAGCTTCTGCAGCAGCAGTCGCAACACAGCAGCAGCAGCGCACCGCCGCGGGGGCCAGCCTCCGGCAGCAGCAGCTAAGCAGAAGCAGCAGAAGCAGCGGCAACACCAGAAGCAGCAGCAGCAACTGAGTGCATGCGCAGCAGCAGCAGCAGCAGCAGCCCAGTCGCTGCAGCAGCCCCGAAAAGCAGCAGCACCAGCAGTGCCCCCAAAGCAGCAGCACTAGCGGCAGCGGCAGCAGCAGCACTGGCGACAGCGGTAGCAGCAGCAGCAGCCGCTGCTGCTGCTGCTGCTGCTGCTGCTGCTGCTGCTGCTGCTGCTTACAGCAACAGAATAGTCTGCACTAGTGGAGACGAGCAGCTGGCCGTCCTGTAAGAAGCAAAGGCCAGTTACTGGCAGCTCATGTGCTGCTTGCTTCCCCAGCAGCTTGAGCCTGAGAGCAGCAAACCCCCAAACTAGGGTTTAGGGTTTAGGGTTTGGAACTTAGGGTGTGGGGTTTGCGGCGAACAAGCTGCTGGCCGCAGAGCTCGCAAAACCCCACTCGAAGGGGACCAGGACTTAGCGAAGAAGGGCGGGAGGAGTCCGCAGAAAATTAGGGTTTAGGGTTTAGGGTTTAGGGTTTAGGGTTTAGGGTTTGGGACCTCCTGTCGAAGACTTTGCAAGAGCCATTCGCGAGGCCAATGGCCACTCGCTGGTGGTCAGCAGAAAGCGCCAGTTGGCAGCAAGGAGAAGAAGAGTCGCAGCAAACAGAACAAACTTCAACTAGTTTTGCTGCTGCTGCTGCTGCTGCTGCTGCTGCTGCTGCTGCTGTTGCTGCTGCTGCGGGGGCAGCAGGCGGGGGCTCGTCCACCTTTTTGTTGCTGCTTGCTGCAGCTGCTTCCGCGCCCTGCATCACCACCGCCCTGCGCGCCCAGCCCCCAGGCCACAAACCCTAAACCCTAAACCCTAAACCCTAAACCCTAAACCCTAAACCCTAAACCCTGAACTCTGAACAGTGCCTGCTCGCTTGCAAGCAGCTCCCGCCCTTTCGACCCTCTGAGTGAAGAGCGCAGCGCGCAGCAGCAGCAGCAGCACGTGCTAGGGTTTAGGGTTTGGGGCTTAGGCCCTAGGGTTTAGGGTTTAGGGTTTAGGGCTTGCCAGCCGAAAAGATAAGAAGCGCCCCTGGCCTCGCTGGCCACAGCTATGAGGCGTTTGTGGGGGGAAGGGCCGTGGGGGTTGCTGTTGAGGAATCTGAAAGAAAAAGAAAAGTTTTGAATTAATTAAAGTTTTATTTTTATTTATTTAATTTAATTATTTATTTATTCTTTTTATTTCTTATTGCCTTCATTTCCAGCAGACCGCAGCTCAGACTTCTACGCTGTTGCCACTCGGAGTCCTGCAGCAAACCCTAAACCCTAAACCCTAAACCCTCAGCCTCGCGTCCCAAACCCTAAACCCTAAGCCCCAAACCGTAAACCCTAAACCCTAAACCCTAACGCCTGCTTCCCCTGTCGCCCGTGCACTGCGGCCAGTCGTTGACGCCCAACCCCACGCAGCAAACCCTAAACCCTAAACCCTAAACCCTAAACCCTAAACCCTAAACCCTAAACCCTAAACCCTCGGGTTGGCCACGCAGCAAACCCTAAACCCTAAACCCTAAACCCTAAACCCTAAACCCTAAACCCTAAACCCTAAACCCTCGCCCGCCCACCTGCAGCAGCGAACACTGAGGGTTTGGTCTTTACTGCGGGGGTGAGGAATCCGCTGAGACAGCAGCAGCCCCTGCCCTCTCCATTCCCACAGAGAAAGCCCCCCGTCGGAGCCGCAAGCAGCCACCTGCGCGCAAACCCTAAACCCTAAACCCTAAACCCTAAACCCTAGGCCCTAAGCGCTGAACGCCGAGCGCCCGAGCCGCAGCTGCAGGCAATTCAAACACTGGACAATGGCTTTAAAGCTGCTGCTGGGGGTTTGAGGCTCGGGGCCTGGAGCCACGCTCCGCCTAGGGTTTAGGGTTTAGGGTTTAGGGTTTAGGGTTTGCGGCCACCAGGTGCGAGTCGTCGCTCATAGTGACATCTCTTATGTCGCCAATGCTGGCTTGCATTTCAGACACCAACTCTGTGCGGACTTCCTGCTGCTGCTGCTGCTGCTGCTGCAGCTGCAGCTGCTGCTGCTGGTTTGCTGCAGTTTCCTTCGCTTGCGGCTGCTCAATTACCACCCTCCACACCCTTCAGCAGCAGCAGCAGCAGCAGCAGCAGCACCGACAGCAGCAGCAGCAGCAGCAATAAACCCTGCAGCCAGACCAGCCAATCCTACGGCTTTATCAGCAAGGGCCCCCTCAGGCAGGGTTTGCTGCAGGGGCCCCGGGGGCCCCCGGGGGCCCCTGGGGGCCCCGTGGCTCTCCAGGGGCCCCTGGGGGCCCCTCGAACGATCTGGGGGCCCCCGGGGCCCCCCAATCGGCCTGGGGGCCCCCGGGGCCCCCCAAGACCCCCAAAGGAACCCAAGGGGCCCCTGAAAACCCCAAAAAGACGCCAGGGGCCCCCAAGGGGCCCCTGGAGACCCCCCGGGCCTTCCCAGGGCCTACAGGAGCCCCCAGGGGCCCTCAGGGGCCTCGGGGGGCCCCTAGGGGCCCCCCGGGGCCCCCAAGGGGCCCCCGGGGGCCCCAGGGGGGCCCCTAGGGCCCCTTGGGGGCCCCTGGGGGCCCCTGGGGGCCCCTGGGGGCCCCACAGTTGGGTTTATTCTGACCTCAAGACTTTGTCTTCTCCGCCAGAAATGATATATTCGCCGGAGGGGGAAAATCTGGCGACGATCTGCAGCAGAGCAGAAGAGAAATTGGAATTTGAATTTATTTAATTGAAAAAACTTTCTTTTTTTCTTTTTTATTTCGATTGAAACATTTAAAAAAATAAAATAAAAGACTTTCTATTTTCTTTTTTTATTTTGATTAAAACATTTTTAAAAATAAAATAAACAAACTGAACCACAAAGGCAGACGCGGGGGTCCGCTGGCCTTCTGTGGCGCCAGGACGGCCCTGCTGCTGCTGCTGCTGCTGCTGCTGTTGCTGCTGCTGTTGCTGCTGCAGCTGCTGCTGTTGCTGCTGCTGCTATTGCTGCTGCTGCTGCTGTTGCTGCTGCTGCTGCTGCTGCTGCTGCAAGTCCTCACGAGGCGTTTCTTCGTTTGTTCGGTTCCGAAGCGGTGCAGAATTTGCAAGCTGTGTCGATACACCGCAGGGAAGCGCAGATGAACTTGAAGTGGAAAATGTTTGGAAAAAGGATTTAAAAGAATTAATATGAATAAAAGTGCATTTTAAATGAATAAATTTTAAAAAGTGGCATTTAAAACAACTAAAATGAACAAAAATGGATTTAAAATCACAAACTTTGCAACATTTTGAACTTCCGCCTGCACACCCGCTGCTGTCGTCCACCTTCATTATGAGGCATTCCCTGTCGCTGCAGCCGCAGAAAAGATTGACCTGCAGTCGCACGCAGCAAAACATCTCTGCTGCTGCTGCTGCTGCTGCTGCTGCTGCTGCTGCTGCTGCTGCTGCTGGCCGCCGTACTGTTGAGTTGTAGTTGATGGAGTCCACGACGCAGCCTGCTGCTGCTGCGTCGATTGTGACGATCTTCTGCGTCTCTGGGTTGTAGGTGTGTGCCTCCTGCAGCAGCAGCGCAGCAGCAGACAGGCGCAGCAGCAGCAAACCAGCTGCTGCTGCAGTTCCGCTCGGCTCCAGGGCCCCCGGCCCTTCTCTGTGGCCTTTTAAATCACCAAGTGTACATACACACCAGTTTGTCTTCAATTCCATAGTCTTTGCCGCCGCCGCCGCCGGAAGTGACTATGAAGGTGCCGTCGCTCGCCGCCTGGGCGCAGCACGCAGACAGCCGCCCAAGGAGGCGGAAAGCGCAGGTCCCGAGAGCGATCTCGCGGAATTAGAAGTAGAAAAAGCAATTTAATGGACTTTGGGGAGAAGAAAAAGCGGAAAAAGGCGGAGTTACCGAGTAGATCGGGTAGTTCAAGTAGGACACCACCGGCGCGGGCATGGTGGACCCTGGCTGGGAGAGGCGCGTGAAACTGCGAAGCCGCAACGCAGAGTCCGTAAAAAGGCTTTTTTCGGAAATAAATGCATTATTTGTTTCTTGAAAGCTGAAGTTGAATCGGCAGCGGCGACTCGCGAGGCGGCGGCGCCTGCTGCATGCAGCAGCAGCGGGAAGCGGCGCGGCGTGCGTACACCTCGGCGGCCGTTAGCGGCGCGGGACTCGAAGACGAAAAGGGCTTTCAGAAGTTTTAATTTGGAGTTTTGGGGGGCAAAAAAAGGCGAAAGAGGGGGCGGGAGGCCGGCCGGCGGGGCTGCGGTCGCTGCTCGGGGCCCGGCGGGCGGTGCGGCGGCTGGGGGGGCCGTTTTCTGCGCGGGAGTTGGGAGAAAAGTGTCGGAAAAAGTGGAAAGGCGCAAATAAATGAAGCGGAGAGGCTTGCTGAGGTGTACAGACAGCGGGATCGCGAGGAAGAGCAGCGCGGAGCTCCTCTCCGGCGGGCAGAAGTGACCCCGCGAGGCGATGGGCGGGCGGCCGGCCGCCCGGCGAATCCCGCGGCCCGCAGACTGATGGGGGAGAATGGAAGCAGGCGAAGACGCTGCTGCTGCTGCTGCTGCTGCTGCTGCTGCTGCAGTGACGGAGCTGCGGCGGAAGCTGCGGCTGGTGGCGCAGGAGGCGCGGGCCTTCGGGGAAGCTGCGCAGGGGCGGCTGCGGCAGCAGCAGCGCGCGCTGGAGAAGCTCAAGAGCGAAAATGCTGCACTAAAGAGCGAACTGCAGCAGACACGGGAGGCTCTGTCGCAGCAGCAGAACTTGCTGCTGGGGGCTCGCATGCAGGGGCTGCAGGCGCAGTGCGGCTTGCTGCTGCGGCGCACTGCAGCAGCAAAGCGCGAGGAGCAGCAGCTGCTGCAGCGCCGCAGCCTCCTCGAGGCCCGCCTCCGCAGCAGCAGGCAGCAGCTGGGGGCCTGCGGCGGCGTCTTTGCGCAGCAAGTGACCAGTGGTTCTCTCGAGAAGCAGCAGCAAGTGCTGGAGAACCGGCTGCAGCAGGCGCTGCAGAAGCACAGCCAAGCTGCTGCTGCCAACAAGCTGCTGCAGCAGCAGATCGACGGACTCCGCCGCGAGCGAGTGGCCTTCCAGCAGCTCTTTAGAAAGGCCCAGGGAGATCTGCATGCGGAAAAACAACAAGTCCTTTCTTTGATCAAAGTTGCTGCTGCTGCTTTTGCTGCTCGAGAAGCAGCGCAGCAGCAAATTGCTGCGCTCAAGGCCGAGGAGGCCAAAGAGCGCCGCAGCTTCGAGAGCGAGTGGGCCGACCTGCAGCAGCTGCTCGACGGGCTGCAGCTGCGCCACTGGGCCCGCCAGCAGCAGCAGCAGCAGCAGCAGCAGCAGCAGCAGCAGCAGCGGCGGCGGCAGCAGCAGCAGCGCGACGCCGACGCGCGCCGCGCCGCCGAGTGCGAAACCGAAGCCCACAGCAGCAGCAGCAGCAGCAGCAGCAGGAGCAGCAGCAGCAGCAGCAGCAGCAAGTCGGAAAGCCCTGAAGAAGGACTCAGCAGCATTTGCAAAATCCGGAACTACAAAGTGGCTTTTGCCAAGATCCAAGCTGCCACAGGCATCAGCAGCGTGCAGCAACTTGCTGCAGCATTTCAAGTTGCAGAAGAACACAACTTTTCTCTTTTCAATTATGTTAATGAGTTGGGGGAGCAGCAGGAAGTGGAAGCAGCAGCAATCCAGAGTTTGCGGCAGCAGCTGCACTTCTTCACGGAGCTGCAGCAGCAAACTTGCAGGCAGCAGCAGCAGGCCAGTCTGCAGCAGCAGCAGCAAGCTGCTGCGGTCGAAAGCCGCGCGCAGCAGCTCGCTGCAGCAAACGCTGCAGCAGCGCAGCAGCTGCAGCAAATCAGCAGCAGCGCCAGGTGTATGTTCACCTTGGTCGGAGCAGCAGACAAGTACAAGGACCAGCTCTGGGCCAAAGAAGATGCAGCAGCAGAAATAAATATAATTAATTATTTGCGAGCTGTTGAAGAAGCTGTCGATTTGCTGCTGCAGCAGCTGCTGCGCCCCAGCTGTACAGACACCCCGGACCCGCCCCCCCGCCCCCAAAAAAACCCCGAAAAAAACACCAC